GACAGAGACACACACACACACAGACAGACAGACACACACACACACACTCACAGACACACACACAGAGACACACTCACACACAGAGACACATACACACACACTCACACACACACACACAGAGACACAGACACACACACTCTCACACACACACACTTTAGCCCGTTACTCGTCACGATGGGACTGACAAGCGACCCAAACTTCCAGAATCTGGAGAAATGGTACAAATCAAATGCCACGAGTCTCAACATGAGGCAGATGTTCGAGGCCGATAAAAACCGATTCCGAAAGTTCAGGTACTTAATGTATTTCTTTATTTAAATATTCTGCATGAAGCAGCTCATTAGTTTAATGGCATTTCATTTCATTAAAAATAATATTTATATATATCTTGCAGAACATACATAAAGTTGAGTCTTTGCTTTTCTGGTACTTTCTGGCATTGAAAGAATCTGTATAATTTTAACCTACATTATTTACACTTTTTTTGTGCACTGTGTTTGTCACAATGCATTCTGGGATGGACTTCTGACACACACACACACAACTGGAAAAGTGGCAGAATATCTTTAACAATCATACTGATAATAATGCATGTAATCAATTTAAGTATCTGGCCATACAGGTTTTGCATAATGATTTTAGTATCTGTAAGCAGGTGGTAAAAGAGTTCTGAAGCTGCATGTTTGTCCTCTTTCAACAGCTTAACTTTAAAAACGGATGAAGGAGACATTTTGCTGGATTCAATAAATGAAGAGGTTATGAAGATGCTGGTGGAGCTGGTAAAGTTTTGAGCAGACGAATGTTTGCTGAGAATTAAACGGAGTTAGCATGGTACTTTGTAAATATAACAGCTTTTTCTCCCAGGCAAAGTCTCGTGGTGTGGAGACCTCCAGAGACAAGATGTTTTCAGGAGAAAAGATTAATTTCACTGAGGTATTTCATATGTTTTGTGTGTCAGGGGTTTATGTCCCGTTTCCTGCTTTCATAGATTGAAATGAGCTGAGCTTGTTTGGACATATGCCCGTGTTTATTTATGGAAACGCTATGAATTATACTTTATTTATTTGATGTTTAATTAAACAAAAGCTGCACTTGTAAAATGCTTGCAATTCTTATATATACGCTTAACATGAATGTGTTTGATTTTCAGAGAATGCATGAAATGATTAAATGTATATCTTGAATGCATTGCATATTGCATTAGATAAAAGTGCCTACCAAATGCATAAATCATAAATGCAAGTATTGCATGAAGATCGTGTGGTCTGCAGGGTCGTGCTGTTCTCCACGTGGCCCTGAGGAACCGCTCAAACACGCCCATAAACGTGGACGGGAAAGATGTGATGCTAGAGGTCAACAAGGTTCTGGAGAAGATGGAGGGCTTCTGTAATGTGAGTGTCATATTTGATGTGATGCTTCATACTAGGACACTTAAAAGGATTGGAATATGAAAACAGATAAACACTGATCAAATATAGAGACTGTTAAAAGTGTCTAGAGCAGGATGCAAAAAATCACTCTTTCTTCCGTCCACAGAAAGTGCGCAGTGGCGAGTGGAAGGGATACACTGGGAAATCCATCACTGATGTGGTTAATGTTGGCATCGGTGGATCTGATCTGGTTTGTAAAATCAAAACTCACTATTTTGCATAATTTTTCTTCTTTTTCCACTGATTTGATGCTCTAGATCAGGGTTTTTCAATCTTTTAGATGCCACAGACCCACCAAAAAAATAAAAATAAAATAAAAATTTTGAAACAATTTTCACTCAGAAATTGCTAGTAAATTTCACAAATAATTACAGCAAGTAAAACACTAAATTAAACCTGAAATTTTGAAGTAGATAGACTGAAATAGCATTTTCCTAAAAAAGCAGCAATCTTTGATTTATTTAGAACTTCAAAAACATAAAAAAATTTTTTTTAAAAATCAGTGTATGATAATCCTTGTGTAAGGGAAAATGAATACTATAAAAATGCTACAAATATTATTTGGAAAATATTAAATTTCTATTAAGTTACATTGTTGTTTTTACAGATGTATTATTTATTTATATATTTACTCGTTTGTTTACGTATTCATTCGAATCAAATTTGTATTATTTTATTTGTTTGTTTGATTTAAATTAAAATGTTATTTATTATAATCAAATTATTTATTAAAATATTTTATTCAATAATTTATTTATTTTAAGCTTTTTTGTATTATTTATAAATGTACTCATTTACTTTTTTCATTTTAATCACATTTTTATTTATTTGTTTTCAATAAATGTTTTATTTACTTATTTTAATCAAATTATTAATTTCAATATTTATTTATTTTAATCATATTTTTGTATTATTGAGTTATTTTATATAAATAAATGGGTAATTGTGCTAATTGGGTTTTGTAAAGTCTGTTTTGTGTGTGTTTCAGGGTCCATTAATGGTGACAGAGGCCCTAAAGCGCTATTCTAAAGGTGGACCCCGCGTCTGGTTTGTGTCTAACATCGATGGAACGCACATCGCTAAGACTCTGGCTGAACTCAACGCTGAGACCACACTCTTCATCATCGCATCGAAGGTCTTAGCTGGACGCAGCATTCAGAGACTGAGCAGATTATACAGCATTAGCAGAGAGAGATGAAGCAACCCAAAATATCACATTTAGATTTTGCTGGGACTCTTTATAGGTTCTTTTGCTAATAAAATCACATTGATTATATAGCATAAAATAATGTGCCACTAGTATGAAATTTCCGTTTGTCTTCCTCAGACATTTACAACCCAGGAAACCATCACAAACGCTGAGTCAGCGAAGGAGTGGTTCCTGCAGGCCGCCAAAGACGTGAGTCTCCTCTCCTGCAGCGGCGTGTCATTTATTCTTATTCTTGTGTTGTTTTTATCATTCTCACAGAAATCTGCAGTTGCCAAGCATTTCGTGGCACTCTCCACCAACGGAGTATAAGTGCATTCCAGTTTAGATGTAAAGGCTCATATCATCAGGAATTAAAATTTCCATAAATCTTTGAAATAATACAGCTCATTGTGCTATTAAAGCTTTTGTAACTTTCAAAACTCAAAACAGTCCAAAAAGAGCATTTACTAAAACTAAACAGGCAAAATCTTTTTCATGTAAACTCATTTAGCACGTACAAGGCCAAGCGAGTTTATTTATATAGCATACTGCATTTCAAACACAGTAGTAATTTAAAGTGCTTTACTTAAAATAATTTAGCAATATAAAATGTTCTCAAAACATTAGCATCAAAACATTACACATCATTCATGGATTTATTTTTTTTTTTTTTACGTTTTAGTTGGATGTTTGTGTAACGTTTTTAAATGTTCAAAACATTCTGAGAACATTCAAATGTAACATTCCCACAATGTTACATTTGGAAATGGAATGTTTTCCTTGTTTCCTTGCATAACCAAAAAAAAAAAACTGTATTCCACTTTCTGTGTTTCAGCCCAAAGTGAAGGACTTCGGCATCGACCCGGAGAACATGTTTGAGTTTTGGGACGTGAGTGTGGGTCCGCTGAGGGCCGTGAGCTGTATTTGCCGTAGTCTTTGACCTGTGAAGTAGGCGTCTGGATGCTCTCGCTAACAGCAGCTGGTAGAGTCTGTCACTGCCGAACGCTGCTGGGTTATTCGGGATCTTGACCTTATCCGAGCAGAGGTCACGCAAAGGCTGGCTCACTGTAAAGGCCGACGGGCTACTTTTAGTCACATTGTTGATATTTAAAGGGCAAGGTTCCTTACTATCCTATTTATTATGGACTCTATATGCTCTTTGGCATATGCATGTTTGCTCATGTAAAGAAAGGTTTGATGTGTAGTTGAATTTGTGTTTTATTTACTTTTTTATGCTTACAACAGTGTTATTTTAGTATCAGTGAGATACTATCATAGTTTTTATTAATAGCTTGAATTAGTTTTTAATTTTATATTTTTTTATTATATTTTTTGTTACAGTAATACACACATTTTTGTCATTTTTATAACGTTTTTTAGTTTTTTTTAATATGTCTATATAGTTTGTTTACATTTTATTTTATTTGTTTTATTTCCTTTAACATTTATTTTATTTCAAGTAACAACATTTTTGTGTTACATTTTTTTTTGTGTTTTCGTCATATTTATTTGTTTTTGTTTTTAATATGTCTACATAGTTTTTAAGTTTACGTTTTTATGTATATTTTATTTTATTTCAGTTAACATTTATTTTATTTCAAGTAACAAAAAAAGTTTTTTATGGTTTTAATTTTAGTTAAATAAAAATAACAAAACTTGAAAGAGCATGTTTTGTCATTTTTATTAACTTTTGTTTTTTAATGTCTATAGTTTTTAATTTTAATTTTTTTATATTTAATTTTATTTCTGTTAACATTTATTTTATTTCAAGTGACAAAATGTTTTTTTATTGTTTTTCTTTTCTCCATTTTTATTAGTTTTTGTTTTGTCTGTATAGTTTTTTTTAATGTTTTTTAATGTTTTTGGTTTTAGCCTTAGTTAACTATAGCTAAATTATTAACAAAAAGATCATTCAAATAATAAAAATGCAGTAAAACTAATCTATTGTACCTCATTAGATGAGTTTGAAATGTTTTTTTTTTCTAGTGGGTCGGTGGACGATTCTCCTTATGGTCTGCAATTGGTCTGTCCATCGCTCTTCATATCGGTGAGTGTTATCATGTGACTCTGATGAAGATATCCAGCGTGTGTGAGAGATGCTCAAGAATCTGTCTGATCTCTTCTGTCTCAGGATACGAGAACTTTGAGAAGCTGTTGGCTGGAGCTCATTGGATGGTGGGTTTTATTAGTGAAGGAGCACATTATCAGTATTTGACCTTCATTAGCAATGTCAAATTAAACTGAATTCAAATATTCAAATTCACAGTCAAATATTTTTGTATAATGACAAGCTACCATTCAAAAGTTTGAGATGAGTAAGATTTCAAATGTTTTTGAAGGACGTTTCTTCTGCTCACCAAGGCTGCATTTATTTGATCATAAATACATTACAACTTATAATAGCTGTTTTCAATGTAAATATATTTTAAAATGTAATTTATTCCTGTGATCAAAGCTGAATTTTCAGCATCATTCCTCCAGTCTTCAGTGTCACATGATCTTCAGAAATCATTCTAATCTGCTGATTTGCTGCTCAAGAAACATTTCTGATTATTATCAATGTTGAAAACAGTTCTGCTGCTTCATATTTTTGTGGAAACCGTGATACATTTTATTTTTCAAGATTCTTTAATGAATAGAAAGTTCAACAGACCCGGATTCATTTGAAATAGAAATCTTTTGTAACATTAGAAATGTTTTTACTGTCACTTTTGATCAATTTAATGCATCCTTGCTGAATAGAAGTGTTAATTTGTTTCACAAAGCTTACATAAACCCCTGAATCTACGTCTCTGGCAGGACACTCATCTCCGTACGGCTCCTGTGGATCAGAACGCACCCATGCTGCTCGCTCTGCTGGGCATCTGGTACATCAATGTCTTCCAGGCCTACTTCCAACAGGTGCGTCTCACCTGTAGAGCGAACACAAAACACACAACACCAGCCAAAGACTGTATGCATTTTATACTGACAGTAAAGTCATCAAAAACACTAATGGGAATCTACTGCTGTGATTTACAGGGTGACATGGAGTCTAACGGAAAGTACATCACTACTGAGAGTAACCGGGTGAACTATCACACCGGGCCCGATTGTATGAGGTGAACCGGGAACTAACGGACAGCACGCTTTCTACCAGCTCATTCATCAAGGTTTACTTGCTGGCCTACGCAATCTGGCGTACAGTATGTGTGTGTTTTGGTGGGAGAAGCATCTGTCTGACCCTTCTGTCTCCTCCACAGGAGCTCGTATGGTTCCTGCTGACTTCCTCATTCCTGCCCAGTCTCAACATCCAATCAGAAACAATCTCCACCACGAGCTGCAGATCCAGCGATGAATCACATGAAGTGACTCAAATCTATGGAAGCTCATCTCTGCCATGGGATAAAAATAAATAAATAAAATAAAAAAAGGTAACTGTGATTTTTTTTCTTCATAATTTTCTTCTCACAAGTCAGACTTTTTCTGGCAATTGTGACTTTGCAAGTTTATATCTCATAATTCTGAATTTACATCTCGCAATTCTGAGGGTTTTTTTTCTCAGAATTGCAAGGGAAAAAGTTAGAATTGTGAGACATAAACTCAATTCTGAGGAAAAAGTAATAATTTTGATATATAAACTCAGAATTACGAGAAAAAGGTCAGAATTATGAGATATAAATTCAGAATTGCGAGAAAATAAGTAAGAATTGTGAGATATAAACTCAGAACTGTGAAAGTCATAATTGCGAGATATAAACTCAGAATTATGAGATATAAATTCTGAACTGTGAAAAAAGTTTGAATTATGAGATATAAATTCAGAATTACGAGAAAAAGTCAGAATTGTGAGATATAAACTCAGAATTATGAGATATAGATGAAGAATTATGAGATATAAATGCAGAATTATGAGATATAAATTCAGAACTGTGAAAGTCATAATTGTGAGATATAAACTCAGAATTATGAGATATAGATGAAGAATTATGAGATATAAATGCAGAATTATGAGATATAAATTCAGAACTGTGAAAGTCATAATTGTGAGATATAAACTCAGAATTATGAGATATAGATTAAGAATTATGAGATATAAATTCAGAATTATGATATATAAATTCAGAATTGCGAGAAAATAAGTCAGAATTGTGAGATATAAACTCAGAACTGTGAAAAAAGTCTTAATTATGAGATATAAATTCTGAATGTCAGGAAAATAAGTCATAATTGTGTGATATAAACTCAAAATTGTGAGAGAAATGTCATAATTGTCAGATATAAACTCAAAAAAGTCTGAATGGTAAGAGAAAAAGTCAAAATTCTCTTTTTTAATTGTTTCATTCTGTGGCAGAAATAAGCTTCCGTACAAATCACTCAGTATGTGATGTCATGTGTTTTGTATATCCTCACTTTGCAACATCAACACTGCTATTGAACTGAATTAAATCAACACTCAACTGAATTGAGCTGAATAATGTCACTATTTTCCTGCTTTATTAATGTGAAGCTGCTTTGAAACAATCTGTACTGTATAAAGCGCTATAGAAATAAATATGACTTGTAGATTCTGGTGGTGAACTTCCTGGCGCAGACGGAGGCGCTGATGAAGGGAAAGACGACAGAAGAGGCAAAGAAAGAGCTGGAAGCCGGAGGACCGAGCAGAGAGAAACTACAGAACATTCTGCCACACAAAGTGAGAATATAAAGTCAAGCACTGGCTTATACTGACCTAGACAGGACACAAAACACACTACACCCTACTGCTCTCACTAAATCTGCAGTATGTATAACATGCACATTATGCAGATTCTCGATATACATGCAATACTCACATTTACCCAAATGTGCATTAGATCTGACCATGCAGTCTGCTCAACATGACCGTTTGATAAATGAATCATAAGCAACAACCTCCTTCTTGACTCACAATTTGATCAGACTACCAAAAAATTCTGACATTTCTTCAATAAAAATAGGATTAAAAATGTTCTGATCGGTGCGTTAAAAGCTGTCTCAGATGTTTTGGTGATGCTGTACAGTATTAGATATCAGGTTCCTGACCTTTGACCTCTCTTAACAGCCATATATGAACACAAGATCTTCGTTCAGGGCGTCATGTGGGAAATGAACAGTTTTGATCAGTGGGGGCGAGTCATCTAATGTATCAAATAAAGAAGAAATTGAACCTATCAGGGAAAATAGAAATGATCTCAGGAATGTTAATGAAACAAAATAAACCTGACAAAATAAATGCCTAACGTGCTAAAAAAGCAGCTGAAGCAGTTTTATTACCAGACCAGTGTTGTTGAGATACTATTATAGTTATTATTAATATTTCAAATTATTTTTTTTTATTTTCTGTATTTATTTTAATTTTGATTTTATTTAAAATATTTACGTTTTTATTATTTTTTTATTTTTTTAAATGTGCATTTAGTTTTTATTAATTTTTATTTCAGTTTTAGTTTTATTTAATGTTAATGAAACCGAATTAATTTATTTATATAATGAATACATTTATTTCTGATCCTGCACTCAAGTTTAATTTGATAAACCTGTTAAATTGCTAGTTTTATTACCAGACCAGTGTTATTTTAGTGTCATTGACATACTATTGGTTTTTATTAATATTTTTAATTAGTTTTTATTTTCACCTTAATTTTACTTAAAGTTTTAGAAATGTTGTCTTTTTTTTTTTTTTTTTTTAAATTTGCCTTTTTTGTTTTCAGGAGACTTAAGCAAAATACATTTGAATTCAGTTTCATCTCTTTGCGATGGAGGAGAAACGATCGAGATTTTAAGGAGATCTCATTAGTGATTTCTCTTTCCTATGGGATTATATAAAATTCTATTTTGGTAGCTGGAAGTTTCCATCAAAACACATTTACATAGGGTTGAATCGAAATTTAAACATGTCTACATAAGGAAGAAAGACAAAGTGTAACGTTACGGGGTAAAACTTTGTTGATACTGATACATACGCAGGTGAAACGTTAAATTAGGCTACACATAGGCTATTTACTGTAACACCAGCACAACAGACCGCAAGAAATAATTTACCAGAGTAAAACAGATAAGAAAGGTAGCTGACCTACCTGGCAAATGTCAGAAAAAGTTTGTTAACTCTCATTTAAAAGAAAAGTTTCTGAGTGAAATGAGCGTCGAGTGCGCGCGCTGTTACTCTCATTGAAGCGACACATGCAAACACAGAATGAGGAACCCAAGACTGGACGCTGCTGTTTTCACTGCTCTTTCAACTTCCTGGTACAGTATTTACCATGTTGATCAGAGTTCAGTTTTATTTGTTCGCATAAAGCTGCAGTGCCATTACGTTTGCCAAGTGTCTACTCTTGGAGAGAAAAAAAAGTAGGCTATATCCGTAATCTCACATGATGAGGTGGCAGGAACATAAGCATTCATTGGGCTACATTGACGGTTGCGACAAATTGAATAGACGTTTGTAAAACCTGATGAATGACTAGAAATACAAGTATATATAAACGAGCAGGGCCGTGCAGAGACATTTTGAGGGGCAGTGGCCCAAACTAAAAAAAGGGCCACAAGGAGGGTGGGTACTTGTTAATACAAATTATCCAGTTGTTACAAATAATTAAAAGAGAAGACAGCACACTCTGTAATAACTGACATTATTGTAGATGTTTTAATAAGGGTGGGCTCTCCCTCACTCTCTGAGCCTGCTTCTGCCTCATCTTCAATGGAAGTAGGGGAGAGTGGGGTAAGTTGAGCCAGTGGGTAAGACCCACCCGTTTCTTGGCATCTGTACAACTGTCATGTGACGATGTATTTTGGAACCACCCATCATTTCTGCCAGACTATGGAAAGGAGAAACACATGGGCGGAATGGAAGGCACCCATTTACTTTAAAAACTGTTTTTGCTTGTCAAAGTAATAACAGATGTAATGGTTGTTACATCAAAGCAAATTTATCCAGGTCTAAAAATATTTATGATACATATAGGTGATTTAGCAACATATAAAACCATGCAAATCATTTAGCTAAATATTAGCCTGAACTGGTAAGCTACAGTAGCTATTTTTTTCCCCAAAATGGCAGCTATGGGGCAAAGTGAGCCAAATGCTTTGGGGTAAATTGAGTCAGCATTTTAACTTACCCCACCATAAGGCACTGTAGTTAAGTTAAATCTCTGAATTATAAA